AGACCTTAGTACTTCTGTCAGGACTCAAACTGGCAGCAGGAGAGACCTCAGTATTGCTGTCAGGACTCAAACTGGCAGCAGGAGACTCCTCAGTACTGCTGTCGGGACTCAAACTGGCCGCTGTATGAGATAGGGCAGCACTGTTGTCAGGAGCCAAACAGGCAGCAGGAGAGACTTCAGCACTGTGGTCAGATGAGGCCTTGGTGTATTTTTTGCCACCTCTTTGATGGGAAAAGGCCCACCTCCAAATTGATTTCTTCTTTTTAGAAGAACGCTTCTTTCCTCTTTCCACATCTCTCTCTAGATGTAAATTGTTTTCCACTTCATCTGTGGAAGATTGTGGTGGTGTACAATGATAGTAGTCCACACTGCCACACTCATTTCTTGACGGTTTACAACTTGAACTGAGCTGACCCATATTTGAATTGTCAGAGCTACAGAATGAACAAACCAACAAGAATTGCAGTAACATACAGTGTGATGTCACATATAGAACTCACAAATAGAAGCCAGCATTCTGTGGCTTCCGGTTTCTATGGTAACCAATTCCATTGTGTCCCACTGTCCCACCATGTCACCACGTTTAAATCATTAAATTCTCAGTTTTTACTTGGTATTCTACTTTTGACATAAAAAAAGTAATTTATATTAATAATAGGTATTTATATAAACACTTATAATACATATATATAAATTTATATAAATACTTATAATATAAATGTCTTAAACAAAAACAGTGAACTTAACTAATCAGAGATATAAGCTGAGGTATTGTGGACTGTTTAAAGCTAGCTCATTCTTGATTGAGATCAAATGGATAAAATGTGAAAGGTCAAGTATAAAATGTTTTATATTCGTTGTAAAATATTTGTATGAAATTCCATTCATTTCCATTTAATACTAATATGTGTTGTTAAGGAATAAATTTAGACAAATTTAAAATTGATTTTCTTGATTAAATATAGCAGAATATTTCTGGTGACAACCAGATATTTAAACAGATCTCATTACAAATTTGAAAAGTTGGTTCTTTTTTAAAAATGCATAAACTAACAGATCTATAATAACCATACCTCAATGATTTCTTATTGATTTAAAAACAATTATCATCTGGTTATTAAGGATATAACGATTCACTGGACTCACAATTCGATAAGATTCACCATACTAATCTCACAATTCATGATTCAGTCACGATTTTTAAGCAAAATTATTTAAAACAAATTGAAGGTGAAGAGTGCTTTCATTTCTTTCTTAAATGCAGCACTGTTTTGCTAAATATAAAATATTTTCTGCCATAACTTAATTGCTATTTTATAAACAAAACAAGAATAATACAAACTAAATACTAGGGGTGTAACGATACACTCAGCTCACGATACAATGTGTATCACGATATAATGTTCACGATTCGATATGTATCACGATATTTGGAATAAAAATTGAAAATTAAACTGAAATTCAAATTTTATTTTAAAAAAATTTTAATTACCAAGTAAACTATTTTTTATGTATTTCTTTTGTTTCAACTTGTTAAACTGAACCTTCTTTAAGAAAATAAATTAAACAGGACTGTCTCTGGAAAATAAAACAATTAAAAAACTTCTTATAAAATATTATTGAAATTATTCAGTTCAATTGAATTTAACAGTAAGAGCTCAAGGCTTTGTTTGGTCACTTGCGTTTTTTGTGTGTGCAATCTACATTTCCAGGTAATCAGCAGTTCTATAAAATAATCCTGAACTGATGTGTATCTGTCTGAGAGGTTTTTATGTATGGCTGTCTTCATGTTGGGCATGAGGAGTGACAGGGTGGCCGTCTTTTCATTACACAGGACAGTCGTGGCTATTTTCAGCAGTTTAGGCAGGTTTACTATTTCTTCGGCATCGCTGATGTCGATTTTACTCTGTCGCCCACCTCTTGCTCGCTGTTGATGTGCAGGTGAAGTGAGCTTGCACCAGTAAACAGCATCCCCTCTGTTCAAAACATGTATCACGATTCATTCAACATTTTACCCACATTTGTATCGTCACATATTTGAATCGATTTTCAACTGGCTAACGGTGAATCATTAAATCCCTATTAGTTATCATTTTTTGTGGTATCATGTGCTTCACCTGGTATAGTTGTGCTTTCTCCGAGACTCTGGATCTTGCGGTCTAGGATGCGGCGTCCTCTGCTGAGGGTTTTAAGGAACTGTGCCTCTTCCTCATTGATGATATCCTTTACCATATAAGGATCTTTCCGCAACTCTGGAAAAGCATCACCCTGAAAAGAGCAATAAACTATTAAATGAACATGAGAGAGTAAGTATTAGAAAACTATATTAAAATAAGGCAAATGCCTTGATTAACCATTACTAATAATGTACATCTATTTTGTAGCCAGTTTAGACTAGTCATTTCATCCTCTTCGTAGTAAAGATTTTTTGAGTTGTTTGGATTAAAAAATGAATTATTGAATGTTTCACTCACTCTCGCGACTGTGCAGGTGCACTCAACTGCAAAGCCAAGTGAAAGTAGGCTTCAGTAAAAAGGTAATGCAAAAACGCATATGATTAACAACAGCTTTAGAAAGCAAAAGCCAAATCCATTTTAGGAAATTTAGAAACCTGGCCGGATGAAATGCCAAAAAGTAGCATCTCTGTGGGTCTGCAGAGCATGTGAGACTGTGTGAACACTAACAAGTTTCGTGCAGACAGAACGAAAGAGAGAAACAAGAGAGATTTTTCCTCTACTTAATCGATCACAGATACAATATAGTGTAAAAGAATAATAGAAATAGTCAAAAAAATAAAAATAAATAAAAATAAACAAAAAAAAACGTGTTACTAAATATAGTTGGGCGGTGGTTAATATACCTGGTGGCCCGCCCAAATAAAGTCTATGTGTGAGAAGCACTGAAGTGCACAGTATTGATGCTAACAATTAATTGATGTAGATTAATTGTTGATAATTAAGTATTGCTAAGTTGTATTGATTCAAAGAATAAAGAATGGATGTAATTTTTGAGCATAGTTGAGGCGTATGCTGCTTACACACAAAATGTACTGCAGATGCAAGAAAAAAATTAGAAAAGAAAATAAAAAAAATTAAGTGGGCACACTTTTTTAAATAAACACTCCTTTGTAAAATGTTTGAAGAAACTGCTACACAAGTTGCATAATTTCACTCTATTTATGATATGTTTGTACATTTAAAAATAAAAAAGTTTTTTTTTTTGTAGATTTTATCCTTGACATTTTTGAAATGTGTATGAATCAGGTTATCAGTGTATGGACTTGTTTATACAGGGCTCGAAATGAACCTTTTTGCTTGGTAGCATTGGTGCTCCTAACTTTAAAAAATTTAGGCGCATCAGCCAAAATGTAGTCGCACCCACCAATTATAAGCACCGTTACTACAAGTTTTATACAAACATATTTATTGCATTTGAAATCAACAACAAGCTAAAAAATATATATATATCCAAGCATGAGGAAAATATGTCTCAACGAAATCCAGTTATCACAAGAAAATCAATTTTTATAACATAACTGAGTGACCAAAGGTACACGGAGCGCTCACCAGCCCAGCACGCACTGCTTGACATGAATTAACCTTTTAATGATATAACTGTGCTGTTCTCACGGGTGCTGTCTGATATTGCACTGATGCTTTTGACATATACTGTACCTTATTATATGCATACGTCATGTTAATAGCAATACCGTTCTTTTTATAAATAGCGATATTAGTTTACTCAGCGCAAACCCGTTAAATTGTTAAACTTGACATATAGCTGCCACTTGCACGGCAGACAGCATCTGGTGATTAAATGAAAAATTAAACAGAAAAAATTAGCTCGTGCTAGAGGTGGCAAGCAGTTCCCTGAAAATTCCATCCCACAGAATTTTCATAGCGGACTTGAAGCCAACGGAAGTCTTTTATCCACTCTTCTAAAAGTGTAGATGGTGGATTAACATTCAGCACATGAACACTAGTAAGATTTGTCATTATTTGTAACTTTAGGTGCCATGGTTTCTAAAACAAAATCTGTCAGTGTTATCTTCATTCTCATGTTCAGCGCGGTAGAGCGGTAGTAGCTCTCTCTGTCATCCCAAGCCAGAAGGCATTGACTGAGTGATTGACAGCTGATATTTCAGTGCTAGAGCAGTGGGCCAATAAGAAGAGCGCGAAGGCGGGGTAAGCATTACGTTCTTGGCTTTGTTTACGGCAACAAGTTGACACAACTGTTTTAAGCCATTCCTGAGTGCTGCATTACGCGTTTCAAGTGAAGAGATGCATTCTGCGAAAATGTCTCCCAAATCCGCACATGTGGTGAACATTTTGCAGTAAAAACTGGTCGCACACAACAATTTTATGGACTCGAACAAATGCTCCTAAATATATTTTGAGGTCGCATAGATAAAATTTCCGGTCAAAATGGTAGCAATTTCGAGCCCTGTTATATTTTATTGCTATCAATCAGTCAAATAAAATAAACAAAAAATATATAGAAATTCTGAATTTGTATCAATTTGAGGAATGTGAAGACTGATCAAGTAGACCAATATCTAAATGGCATAAGTAAACACATCAAGTTCATTCATAAATAACAATGTTTTTTTAACAATCTACATATTTTCCTTAATCTGCACAATATTCTATGCACATTTGGGAAAATAAAAGACCTGGTCACATGGAGCCACAGATTCACCAGTTGCCAATGTGCAGATCCAAGTACAATTTGTACATTACACATTATATTTAATCATTCAAATGTTCTATTAAAATACCAATCATAGATTCTTTTTACAATGCCACTAGCCTTTTAAATACAGTAAAAACATAATACTTTGGGTGAGAGTTCTTGTGCTTTGTGAATCATTTGCACATCCTGTCATGTCGGTGACAATGTGCCACTGAAGTAGATAAAAGATGAATGATCATTTGATTGTTAATTACAAAAACAATTAATGATGGAAATTTGCGGACACTCCCATCCCTCATACAAAGCAATCAATAACACCATCATCTCACGCTCTGCCAGTGTTGTCAGGTCTGCCACCATCAGACAAGGCGATTGTAATGGTGCGGGCATAATCAGCCAGGACACGTTATGCCATATCGATGCCATCGGTGTCTTCTGCACCAACCTTTCCTGTGTATGCTCTTGCACCTGTGCCCTGAAAAGCGAGACAAGTTGTTCAATTGCATGCAAAAATAAATGTCAATCCATGCTTTCTGTGAGTTTACCTTCTGAATGGCTTCAAAATAAGGAACGAAGAGGTCAGTGTCGTAGTTAGACATCTTGTTTTGTAGAACAGAGACCAAGCGCTCAAGTCCCATCCCTGTGTCGATGCTCTTCTTGGAAAGAGGCTTAAGCACGGTCTCTGATTCTCTGTGCAGAAGCATAGCCATACGTTAATAACAAATGTGTGCATACTTGAAGTATCTTTGTGCAAAAAATTACTATGCACTAATATTATTCTGCTTAATCAGTATGATCCAAAATGAACGTTTAATATTTAAAATACAAATTAGTAAAAACATTTTAAAAGGATACTTATTCATACTTTTCAACAACCATTAATCAAGATTCCAGTGTCATATTATCTCTCAGTCATCACTGTAACATGCTGATCTGGTCCTTAACCAACTATATTTATTAAAATGATTATAAAAAAAAAAGTTAGTTGCTGCCAAATAATATTGTAAACTTGATGTTAAAAAAAGATATTTGATGAAGGGAAAGTTCAACAGAGCATTATTTCTTTCATATGATTTTATTTATACTAAAATTAAATGTATTTATTCCTGGCTGATGCCAATGGTCATTTTCTTTAGATTGATTTGTTTCTTGAATCTAAAGTGCAATTAGTTATAAATATACAAAAGGCTGCTTTAACTGCCTGCTCAACCAAATGGTTGACCATATTTTGACTGTTTTAAATAATGACTGTTCAAGTCATTTAAAGAATGACTGTTTTAAATAACGGTTTACACTACACAGCATTGTTGGTTTACAAAAAAACAAAAACAAACATAGTCCTGTTGTACTACCACATTTGATTTAGGTTTTATTGTATATATATATATTAAAAATATATTAAATAAATTTAAAAATAAATTAAGATTTTTCAGATTTTCATAATATATTTATTAATTCCAGTACTTTTATCATAAACTGATTTATCAACCATTTGGTAGAGGTTGCTATTTTAAAAACTATGGGATGTGCTAAAAAAAAAATGCATTGAGTTTGTTAACTAGTGACATATGGAGTTAAGAAATGTAATTCAGAAATGTTTTTCTTGGTGGGGCAGGTAAAGGGATAAAAGCCAATGCCAATAATCCACACGGTAGTGGTATTCTGTGCATTTCTATGGATGAATAAAAATATCTCTTATACAAGACAATAACCAACATAATATCTCTTAGTTTTCTGTGCATCCCTATGAATAATACATTATTTAAGAGGCAGTAAAGCTATTATCTATTTGTATTTGATTGCTTTTTACCTTTGCTAGCTGTACAGTAGCAAAGAGCTTTAAGTTTACCTGTTGAATTGGATAAACACCAAATTCCAGATTTCAAGCTTATTTGGGTCATCCATGTTGACCAGGTGTGCAGCATCTCTGCCTCCAATGCGATCATAGTGGATCTCACTGCACGGCCCACATGGACCAGTGTCCCCCATCTCCCAGAAGTTATCCTTCATGCTGCCAGGCAGAATACGGCTCTCCTCCATTCTGATACAGAAAGAATATAAACAAATTTACATCAATTCTACAACTTGTATTATAATTAAAATTGGTCATTTTAACCCATATAGATAATCTAATCACAGTCATATCACCCTGCAGCCCAAGACCGGTTACTCACTGAAGCTAAGCAGGGCTGAGCCTGGTCAGTACCTGGATAGGAGACCACATGGGAAAACTAGGTTGCTGTTGGAAGTGGTGTAAGTGAGGCTAGCAGGGGGCGCTCAAAGTGCAGTCAATAGCCCCTTTCACACAGTGATACTGTAAATATCTGAAAAATTTACAGAACGACTTTACCAGAAGATTCAAAAAAGTGCTGTTCACACAGGCGAGGACGTTACGGAATTTTTCCGGAAAAGAGCATTGACACATCCATTCCAAAATACCAGTAAATTCTGACATCATTAACCAGAAATGAGCTCTAAACGGCTGCGCTTGTATTTGTAAACGTTTGACTACATTACAAACTATAAAACTATATATAATATAGTTAACTATAAACTATAAAAAAGACAGATGACAATAAAAAAGCAATAATTTCTTCTTCTAGGAAACAATAACATTTATCTTTAATATTGCAATTTACGGTGAAATTCTGCCTTCCTTTTACATTCACAAACTGAAAGTAATATCCAAAAAAGCAAATAGATAATTCACAAAAATATTATTAATCAGGTCACCCTTAACTTACTCTAAACCCTTTATGAATTCCTTTATGATGTTAAACGCAAAAGCAGATATTTTGAAAAAATGTTCAAAACAAGTTAATAAGCTACCAGTTTCCAACAATCTTTACATCTTATTTTGTGTTCTACAGTTTAAACTATCAAAATAATGATAACATTTACATGTAATATTCTTCAACCAATTAGGCACATACATTCACTTTTTTTTGCTAAACTTTCATATATATTGTTGAGAAGTATTCAACTAAGTTGCCAGTTTAAAGGTGATGATCACTGTGGTGCATCGATTAGAATGCATGAGACGGGATAGTTAAATTATGTTGCTTTATTCCACAATGGTGAATAGAGATGTGGTTTGGTTTAAAACACGTACAAATCCACCAAACAACGCTGATTAGCAACACACAACTTCTCTGCCCGTGGCTTGACTCCGACTGCATTGTTCTCTCGTGTGCTCGCGTGCACGTCTTTGTAAGGCACATAGGATAAGTAGTCCAATAGCGACCTCTACAGGACAGGTTGGTGTAATGCTTTATAACAGCCGCCCCCAAATTTGTTGCACAAATTTGCAGTCACTCCAGCAACACTTTTCTCTAATCATCGGACACAGTGGGGAGGCGGATCAGCCTGCTAGTCGGCCTGATGTAGGATCGATCCTTCACTTGAACCTCAGCTGTTCGGATTCTTCCATCAGCTCCTGGGAACACCTTGATGACTCTTCCTATTGGCCATAGTGCTCTGGGCAGTTGAGGGTCCACTATGAGAACTACTGTATCTGGTTGTAAAGGGTTTGTGTCCGTTTGCCATTTTACTCGAGTTTGCAAGGCAGGTAAGTAATTCTTCAAGAACTGGGACCAGAATCGGTCAGCAAGGACTTGACAGGATCTCCAGCGCCGTCGACTGAGTGCTGCTGAGTCATGGTAAAGTATTTGTGGCAAAGAAGGGTCTAGCCGCCCCATTAGAAGGAGATTTGGGGTTACTGGGTCTGGGTCAGCCACATCAGAAGAGATGTAACCTAACGGCTTGGAATTCAAGATTCCTTCAATTTCAATCAAGATGGTGTTAAGCATCTCTTCTGTCACAGACTGAGCATTGAGTGTGGCATATAATGCTGTCTTTATGGATCTGATTTCCCTTTCCCAGGAACCTCCAAAGTGCGGAGCACTAGGGGGGTTAAATATGAACTTGATCTGATGCTCTGCCAGGAGTGTTTGAAGGGAAGGGTGCATGTCTTTGAAGGAATCACTGAGTTCTCGCTCGCCTCCTTTAAAATTAGTGCCTTGGTCAGACAGTACTTCAGCGGGCTTGCCTCTGCGAGAAATAAACCTTCTTAAAGACATCAGGAATGAATCTGTGTCAAGGCTGGTTAAGACTTCGATGTGCACTGCCCTTGTCGTCAAGCATTTAAATAGGATCCCCCATCTCTTTTCATTACGGCGGCCTATTTTTACAAGAAAGGGCCCAAAGCAGTCCATTCCAGTTGAAAAGAAGGGGGGACTGTGGAGGCGCAGGCGTGCAGGAGGCAAGTCTGCCATGCGAGGAACCACTGGCTGAGCTCTCCATTTTTGACATTCCACACAGCCACGTTGCTCCTTTCGAACTGCCTCGCGGCCACGCAGTATCCAGTACTTGCGTCTTAACTCCCCAAACAGTCTTTCCGAGCCAGGGTGCTTTAGGTTACTGTCAACATGTCTGATGAGCATCTTAGTCACTGGGTGCTTTGGATCTAATACAACTGGATGAGCAGTTTCTAGTTCCAACTGGTTGCATCTGCGTAGTCTGCCACCAACGCGAATGATGTTCATCTCTTCATCAAGTTCAGGTGCTAACATAGCTAGGCGACTTGATGATGGCACTGGTTTACCAGCAGTAAGAGACTGAGTCTCCTCCGGGAAACTCTCTTTCTGGGCAGCTCTGAGAATCTCTAATTCTGCCATCTAGTAGTTTTCTGCGGTAGGGCCTGGAGAGTCAGATGGGGCCGCCCCATGTAGATACTGTGCAGTTGCTTTCAACAAGTCATTAAAGCAGTGAAAATCTTTGGGGTCAGGATAACCAGGGTTAAGGGTGTTTGTAGCAATATTTAAGCAGGAAGCAGGTTTACGTAACTCTTCTGAATCTTCCTCTTTGGGGCCGACTGGGATATTAGGCCAGTATTTGGGTGAAAGCCACAGAAAGGGAGGTCCCTTGACCCATCGATTCTCACCTGTCAGTTCCAACAGAGTTTTCCCCCTTGTGATGTCATCAGCTGGGTTATTTAGAGAGTCAACATAGTGCCAGTTTGTGCTATCCGTTAGATCCTGAATTTCGGCGACTCTTGTCCCGACAAATACCTTGAACCGGCAGGAATCAGAGTGAATCCAAGTAAGGACTGTGGTTGAGTCGGTCCATAGTGTGATTCGTTCAATGTTTAGGGTCAGTTCTCTTTGTAGCAGATGTGCAAGTTGGGCGCCAGTGAGGGCGGCACACAGCTCCAGCCTTGGCACTGATAGCTGCTTCTTAGGAGCTACTCGTGATCTTGAAGTAATGAAGGCTACTTCTACTTGACCATGTGGATCTTCAGTGCGCAGGTATCCAACACACCCATAAGCCCGTTCTGACGCATCACAGAAGATATGCACTTCTCTTGTACAACTGGGGTGGTCTAGGTGAGGTTTTGTGTAACATCGGGGCAAGCTCAGTTTCTCCAGATGAGGCAGTTCACTCTCCCATGCTAACCAAGCTTCCAATATGTCATTAGGGAGTAACGGATCATCCCATTCTCTCTGTTTATTCCATAACATCTGCACAAGGATTTTGGCTCTTGTGGTGAATGGAATTATGAGTCCAATTGGGTCATATTGGCTGGCCAACACTCTATAAATGTTCCTCATAGTTGTGGGGCTTGCTTCCCTCAAGTGGGATTGGTATATTAGTGTGTCAGATTTACACCTCCAACGTAGTCCCAAGGCAGG